GAAGCCCCTGCAGAGCCCCCGTTCTCCAGTTTTGCCTTTTAAGGTTTTTGGTGAACCACTTATTAGTCCCAACTGCTAACACTGTCACAGCCTACTGTAATGTGGAACAATGGCACTGACTGCTTTCACGAAGGTCCTGGGGACAGTGCTGTTCCCACAGAGCGAGTTCTGAGTTAGGACAGAAAAGGAGAAGGCCTGAAAATGGAGCTGTTAAGTAAGCTGCCAGATAGGTCAAATAGTGACGAGCCTCTGAGGATGGGGCATTTGAGGGGCTACAAGACTGACACAGGAATTTTCTCTTGGCCCTTTGCTGGACTTGTAGCGGGGGCGCCCTGTCCCCCAGCTGCTGCGCTCAGCCCCTTGCGGGAGGGAGCACAGGAGCAAGCGAGTGTGGGATCCAGCTGGCCACTGCAGACACCAGCACAGGAGCGAGCTCTGTGTGAGGCCCGTTGCCAGACCAGGCATGTTGCCTTGAGGGGAACGCAGCAGCACACAGGCAAGGGTACCCGCGACCCTGAAGCCCCAGACAGGGTGTTAGTGTGCTAATTAGCTCTTTTAGTTTTACCATCCACAGCCTGATGGACGGCAGCATGTCAGCAGCTCAGTTGGCCTCTGGCCCCATTGTGTGGGGTGGCTGCCCTCTGCCAGCGAGGAGGAAAGGCCAGTGTGACAGACTTTCTGGTTACCCGCACTTGGTGGGTCCCCAGCTCTTGTACAGCGTCCAGGAAGAATGAGGATACACTGACAGTTGAAGAGTGAGCAAGGTGGAGAGTTTTACTGAGTGATGAAATGGCTTTCTGCAGAGAGGGGATGTGGGGGGTGGTCGTCTCCCTACCCAAAGGCAGGAAAGTCCCCTCAATGTGGCTGAGTCTGGGGCTACTATGGGATCAGAATAGGGGAGGGGCAGGCCGTTGGCAGTATTGGAAAAGGCAACATTCGATTGGTTAAAAGGCATTCTTCAGAAAGAATCAATTGGGAAATGGTGGGCAAATAGGAACAGAAGTGCCCACTCCAGGTTGCAGGTTTCATCCGGGACCAACAATCTGGACTTTCCGCCTTCAGGCTATTTTTTGGCTTGAAGGTGGCGTTTCACCAGGGACCTGCCCAGGCATTTGGCTGCCTCCTGGCACTATCAGACCCACTTTGCATCACTGGTTTTCACAGCTCCCCAAGTTGTAAGGCAATATTGGTTTTCAGAACTACAGTAGAGCCGCAGAAAGGGAGATGGCAGTACATAAAATTGAAAAGATTCTGCATTGTTCTCACTCATAGGCGGATGTTGAACAATGAGAACACATGGACACAGGGAGGGGAGCACTACACACTGGGGTCTGTTGGGGGGAAACGAGGGAGGGACAGTGGGGGGTGGGGAGTTGGGGAGAGATAGATAGCATGGGGAGAAATGCCAGATATAGGTGAAGGGGAGGAAGGCAGCAAATCACACTGCCATGTGTGTACCTATGCAACAATCTTGCATGTTCTTCACATGTACCCCAAAACCTAAAATGCAATTAAAAAAAGTTAAAAAAAAATTTTTTAAATTAGAAAAATAGAAACATAAAATAAACCTCAACATAAAAAAAAAAAAAAGATTCTGCATTTTTCTGAATAAACATTCCTCAGATTATGGCAGATTTTTCATTAATTCCAAGAGTTCTGAAAGAGTGGATTTAACAGTTTTTACCAGTATTTGTATTGCTTTTATGGAGGAGATTTTTGCAGGTCCTTACTCCACCCTTTCCGAGGTCTGTTTCTTTGGGTTCTGTTTGGTCTTTTTTCCTCTCTGTTTTTCACCTTGGGTGATTTCTGTTGCTCTTCCTTCAGATTCATTTGCTCCTCTAGCAGTTAAATCTGCTCAGTGATTTTTTATTTTCACAGTTATATTTTCCAGTCTAACTTGCATTTAGTTCTTGTTTCTGTTTTCTCTCCTGCAACTCTTCATTTATCTGTAGAAATTTTCATGCACTGAAACCGTTTCTTTTGTTTAAGGATAATTATAATAGTGCTTTAAAATCTTTGCTTGTTCTCACATTTTGTTCATTTCAGGATTGGACTTGATTCACTTTCTTTTAAGAAGAATATGTTTTCTTGGTTTTTCATGTTGAATAATTGTGGACTCTATCTGGATATTATGAATGTTACATTGTGAGGAGAGTATGGGTTCTCCAGTGAATATTTTTCTCCACTGTTTTTCAGGTATTTTTCGCCACTGAGTATTGTTTTCCATTGTTTTATTAGATAATTTTCTTGGTGGACTTGAATTGCAAACTCTTTCTCTTATGCAGCTCCAGGTCATTTCTGGATAGCTGATCTGCTTTGATTCTGATCCACACGCATGGTTTGGGGATCAGGAATGAGGGTAGACAGAGTTTGGGATCCTTCTTCTTTCTCTTTTCTTTGCAAGATTCTCCTAATTTTTTTTTCCCCTAATTTTTAATCTGTTTATGTTTCTTAACTTCACATTTCCCTTGCCAGAAAGATTGTTGCTTTTTCCGTGATGGCCTCTAGCTCTGCTGTGCTTGCCACCCATGCAGCACCTAGACCCAGGCTAAAAACCACAGAGGTGGTAATTTACTTGTACAGCGAACTCCCTACCTCTGCTTCTCCAAGCGAAAGAACTCCCCACCAGAGCCTGTGTGCCTCTCTCCACACTCCAGAACCTTCAGAGAGGCAACTCCATTCTTGATCCTGGTTTTTTGTCTTTGACAAAGCTGCTTTGAGTCTTTTTCCTGCATGGTGGTTTAGTAAACGGATCCACCACAGATGTGGGCAGACAATTGGGGGATCTCCTCTTTGATTCTTTCCCTTTTGGGATTCCCCGCCTCCCTTCCACATTCATGGTTTCCTGACCTCTCTTTTCTGACCCCCACCCCCCTGTGCCAGGAAGATTCGCAGCCTTTCTATACCACCCTGTGTGTGCAGTTCAGAGTGCGTGTACTCAGGGACAGGCCGGAAGGAAGAACGGTGTGGCCGCCTGTCTCTCCTCCCCCAAGTGGGGCTGCAGTCCCCACCAGCTCAAGCTTCTATTCACTCCTCAGTCAGGCTTCAGTAACTTCAGGTAGTTACTTCTTGTATTATGTCCAGGTTTTGTCATTTTTTTACCCTAAGGGTAGGGAGGGGAGTCATTTTATAGTCTTAACTCCGCATACCTAATAGTAGCTCTGAACCTCATCTTTTTGAGGGAAAGTTGAAAATTGCCTTTCACAGCTGTATCTACGAGAAATGAAAGTGGAGAATTAAAACATCTGAATGGAATTGATGTTCTTTTATAACAAAAAGTTGTCTCAAAGAAGCTACTGGGAAGAGAAAGTTGTAGAAAATTAAGTACTATGTCAGTTCAGTTCAGTGTACAATTTACTAATTACCTGCTTATGTGCCAGACGCTATACTGGATGCTAGAAATACAGAAATATCACAGACGTTGCTCATAAGCTCATAGTAGTGGAATAATGGAGATGGGTAGATTAAACAAATACATTTAGCTCTATCTAGGGATATCATGTGCTACGTATATTCTACATGAGATTTCCAGCACAAAGGTATGGAAATTAAAAAAATGTCTGAGACAAGCCTCAATCAATTTAGAGGTTTACTTTGCCAAGGTTGAGGACACACTGGGAGAAAGAGACACACGCTGCGGTAGGCTCTTCTGCCTGCGCTTTTTCCGCAGAGGGTTTTGACAACTTCAGTATTTAAAGGGTAGAGTGTGGACAAGAGGGAAAAGAGGAACAGTCACTTGTGCATTCGTCTCATGCTCAGTAAATCTGCATTTTACATAAGGTAAAGTAAACAGAGGAAGAAGCCAAATATGCGTTTGTCTTGGGATGGACTGAGGCGTCATTTCTGGTCTTGTCTCTGGTGCCTGTGAAGATCACCTATTAATTGACATTGTCAGGGTGAAGGAGGCCACCTGGGTAGACATGGCCTTCTGTCTTGCAGCAATCTGTTTAGTAACAAAAGGGAGGCACGTTTTTCATTCGTTTGTTTTTGTTTTTTATGTGACTCAGTTCCCAAGCTTAACTTTTCCTTTTGGCATAGTGAGTTTGGGGTCCTGAGACGTTATTTTTCTTTCACAGGTGTTTATCTAGTTAGCCAATAAACATTATGTTGTTATGCCTTGAAGGTGATGATCACCATGTGTCAGTTGAGTTGGGTCAAATAACATTTGGAACAGAAGCAAAATGTCATTGTTCATACATTTGGAGCAATTCAAGTTTACGTGCATTAACATCACAGATGTTGAGTACTCGTGAAGGATTACTGATAAAGGCATACACGTGCTTGCATTATGGCCAGTATTCATCGACCGAAAATAGGAACTCCAGTTCTTCGTTACTGCCGTCATCTGCATGGCCTAGGCGTTCCCAGTCACTCCACCCTGCTGATGCTCCTGCTCCGTTCTGAGTTGCACTTGACCCCGTGGCTTCAAACTTCATCACATTATCCTTCTGATTTCTTTAGTCAAAGAACAGGCTCATGTCACCAGATGACAGAGTCTTACGTTTTTTATATAACTTAGCATAGGAACTGCCCTAAAGATCACTTAGTTCAGTTCTGTTGCTTTAAACATTTGGGAACAATGACCTTTTCAGCCCTAGAGCATTGTGAGTCATAAAAGTCCATATTACAGATAAGAAGACAGTATATTATGCCTTAACATTAATTAACTGGTTCTGATGTGCAGTTCATCAACTCATTGCCTGCCCCACACCTTCCCTTGGTCCCAAGTTCGTGGTTAGGCCAACCATACATAGATCTCTACCCTCAGATCTATTTCTGCATGTATCCTTGGATAACTTACATTGCTCTTGTGTCTGTGAAAAGAATCTAATGAAAATTTAAAAAAATAATAATGTAGTCTTACCTCAACTCTCTGTTATTTAGGAATATATTTGCCTCACCTTAAATGTCAAGGTTTATTTTTTTGTTTCAACATAAAGATTATATTTCTGAAAGGTTTTGAGAGAAAATTGCTGAAGATACTTCTCTTTCTATTTTAGATGAACAAGTTGTTATGGGCAATAAGCTTCTTGTGTATATTAGGTAAGATCGTTTTGTGTATTCATCTGCATGTATGTTCTTTCTATATTTTTCCTATATTTTTAGAGATACAATGACCTCTTATCTATATAGTACTTTTTATTTTTCAAAATTCTTCTGTGTAGAGCAGTGGTTCTCAACCATGGATAATTTTGTCCCCTGCTTCTTAGAGATGTTTGGCAACATCTAGAGACATTTTTGGTTGTTATAACTGGGGCTAGAGAAGGGATGCTGCTGGTATCTAGTGGGCAGAGGCCACGGGTGCTGCTAAGCATCGTACAATGCAGGGTAGTCCCCACAACAAAGAATGATCTGGCCTGAAATACCAGTAGGGCTGAGGTTGAGAAACACTGGTGCTGAAACCCAGCCTTTTTACGTTTACTGCTGACAACTATGTGGAGTGTGTGTTGTCTCTATTTTATATATGAGGGCCAGAGACTTGTTCAAATCATGAAAAAGTTAGTGACAGAGGTAAAACTAGAATGTTTATCTCCTGACTCCTGGAGCAGGGTTCATTCCAGTAGACTGTGCAAGTTCAGAATTGAGTCCTGAGAGAACTTTTAGGTAGGTGGCTATTTGACAGGAAGGCGGGAAGGTAGCAGAACCTAGCGGAACATCATGTTCGCTCATATGTCATGTCAGGTTAACCGTGAAACCGTTTCACACTTGTTACATCCATTCTTTAGTGCAAAAGACATATGCATTTACTTAGTGCTTTATCACCTGTACTTTAAACTCTTCGGGATGTGCTGGTGTCCAGTTGTCTCCAGTCTAACACTGAAAATTGTAGTTTAAAAAGGTTTAAAATTTGCCCCTCTCCAAAAAAAAAAGAAAAGAAAAAAGGTAGACATGTTCAGATGACATTGGTAGTAATTCAGCATTCAGCTCACAAGGCAAGTCATTAGCCAAGAAGGTCTGATTTGGGGGTAAAACTATAGGGTGAATTTCTCCTCAGAATCTGACTCCGTCTGGTTTGTCCTGGTGCAGGCATTGTCCAGATATTTAGCCTAGCTCTTTCCCCATCTTTAATCACCATTCTTAGAGCTCCTAGTTTAAAAGCATCTGAGAACGCCAGGCTTCTAACAGGTTAATCGTAGTATAATGGCGCCACGAGGCACCATCTTTCTGGATGCTGAGTGCAAGGCCTTTGGCAGTCTGTCCTCATTCCTTCTTGCCCCTTTACTAGAGCATTGGTTTTTCTTAGGAAACATGAAGAAACGAAAACTCCCACTCAGTCACAGGATGCATTACTTCACCTCCATATCTGTTGTCCACGTTTTCTAAACTGGATGTCATCCTGATCTGCTTTGGAATTTAACTGAGCCTACTTAAAAATTGAACTAGTATCTCAAGTTTGAGAAACAGTGTTGCTACTCACTTGAAAGTTGTCCCTTTACAAGTCGCTGGATCTGTTCTCATTCTTTTCTTCTAGCTGTTGTCTAGCAGGTCGTGCCTATCCCCTTGGTGACATCCCTGAAGATCTTGTTCCCTTGGTTAAAAACCAGGTTGGTACTATTTTCATAGCTTTTTACTGTTCTGTGTGTCTTGTTAAGATGCACTGAAGACAAATTGCAGTTGAGGATTATACGCAGGTCAGGAGCTGTCACCTGTTACAGGTGAGGGCTTACACACTATTACTAAAGTCCATCATTACAGCGGAGAGAGAATTTAAGAGAGAGCTTATAAAGTAGTAGCAATTTAAACTGAATTCAGCCTACCTTTATTTTATCTAAATGGGAATCACTGCTTTAGCAAGATAATCTGGAAAGTGAAAAAATAATCAACATTTTTTTTTCCAACTTACAGGTTTTTGAATTTCTAATTCGCCTGCATTCAGCAGAGGCTTCTCCTGAGGAAGAAATCTATCCTTATATTCGGACTTTGCTACATTTTGACACAAGAGAATTTCTAAATGTATTGGCACTGGTAAGAGATAGTATTATTTTAATGTGTTTTCAAAGAAGACAGAGCAGTAATTTTTTGGCCAGGCACAGTGGCTCACACCTGTAATCCCAGCACTTTGGCAGGCCGAGGCAGGCAGATGACCTGGGGTCAGGAGTTCCAAATCAGCCTGGCCAACCTGGTGAAACCTCGTCTCTACTAAAAATGCAAAAATTAGCTGGGCATGGTGGCACATGCCTATAATTCCAGCTACTCGGGAGGCTGAGTCAGGAGAATTGCTTGAACCCAGGAGGCGGAGGTTGCGTTGAGCCGAGATCATGCCATTGCATTCCAGTCTGGGTAACAAGAGCGAAACTCCGTCTCAAAAAAAAAAAAAAAATGTTGAACATGTTGAATAACCATGTCTTTACTACACCTCTAAATCCATCACCTGACTCTTGCTATGAGAGGAATGAGGGCAACACTATAGTTATATGTTATTTCCAAAATTAGGATTACCTCAGTTTAAATGCTGTTTTCCAAAGAGGATTACCCCTTTTCTTACTAATTTTTTTTTTCGATAATCAGAAATAAACATAATAGAATAGATAAAATAATGTAAAACAGGAAAAGGGGCTGGATGCAGTGGCTTACACCTCCCAGCACTTTGGGAGGCTAAGGCAGGTGGATCACGAGGTCAAGAGATCGAGACCATCCTGGTCAACATGGTGAAACCCTGTCTCTACTAAAAATACAGAAATTAGCTGGGCATGGTGGCGCGTGCCTGTAGTCCCAGCTACTTGGGAGACTGAGGCAGGAGAATTGCTTGAACCCAGGAGGCGGAGGTTGCGGTTAGCCAAGATCATGCCATTGCACTCCAGCCTGGGTAATAAGGGTGAAACTCCATCTCAAAAACAAACAAACAAAAAATTGGTCTTTATTTATTTGTTTATTTTTGAGACAGAGCATTGCTCTTGTCTCCCAGGCTGGAGTGCAGTGGTACCATCTCTGCTCACTGCAACCTCCACCTCCTGGGTTCAAGTGATTCTCCTGCCTCAGCCCCCCAAGTAGCTAGGGTTACAGGTGCTCATCACCATACCTGGCTAACTGTTGTATTTTTAGTAGAGATGGGGTTTCACCATGTTCGCCAGGCTGGTCTTGAACTCCTGACCTCAGGGGATCCGCTTGCCTTGGCCTCCCAAAGTGCTGGGATTTCCAGCATGAGCCACAGCTCCTGGCCAAAATTTGGACCTTGTATTACAGCAGTGAGTAGCCATCGAAGCCTTTTTGGAAGGAAAATATATTGATTCTGTACTTTAAAAAAGATTCCCCCTGACTCTTGTGCCTTAGTCAGTTTGGGGTGCTGTAACAAAGTTCCGTGGAATGGGTGGCTCATAAACAACCGAAATGTATTTCTCACACTTCTAGAGGCTGGGAGGTCCAAGACCAACGTGCTGGCAGATTCTGTTGGCTTAGGCACACCTCCCAGAGGCTTACCCCCAATACCATCATATTGGTGTTTAGGTTTTCTACCTGAATTTGGGAGCATACAAATGGTTTGAAATGAGGTAACATGGAGGCAGGGAGATCTGTTAGCAAATTTTATAGTAATCTAAATAGAAGACAATAGTGGTTTGAATTAGGGTATTGACAGTAGGGCTACCACGATGTGAAGGATTTGAAAGGTTTTTGTTTTTTTTTTTTTGGAGACGGAGTTTCGCTCTTGTTACCCCCCAGGCTGGAGTGCAATGGCGCGATCTCGGCTCACCGCAACCTCCGCCTCCTGGGTTCAGGCAATTCTCCTGCCTCAGCCTCCTGAGTAGCTG